TTTAAATGTCCACGCCTTCGTTAGTCTCAAAACATTATTTTTTTAAACAATTCTTATATCTATTGATAAAGTCTTTTCAATAAATAAAATAGTTTTATTTCCTTACCGATTAAACCTCTCCCTTCGTACGGTCTGTCAAAATAATGCCTATGTAAAAATTGTTACCACATGTTACATTTTCATAGTTTGTCATACATTTATTATTAATAAACCAACCAACTATGATCAAAGTGTTTGTCAATTGCGTTTTGCTGTTGTTGTTGTAGTTGGAGTTGTAACATGTTTGTTATGGTTAGTAAATGTTTGGTTTCAATGGGTTGTGTGACATTATTTTAAAGTAACTAAAAACAAAATTATTGTAAATGAACTGTGTATGTGCTTATATAAATTGAACACAGTTACACTTTGCAGTTTAAAAAAAAAACCCAAATTTGGCTTACACTTTGCAGTTGTTCGATCAGAATTAACTTTAACTAACATCTGCTTCATTATTGTCTTACCATTTTCCGAATATAATTTAAGTAAACGTTTCCCAATATATTCCCCTTAGCTGTCAATGTAATTGATAGCACTTAACCTGAAGTACGATAATAAAATATAACAACAATTTATTAAATGCCCAGAAAATTTGTTAATAATTTGTTGCATATCAATTTATTGTTTTAATAGCATAGATTGCCTCCCGAGGCATATCATTTATCGTTTCTTGTTATTTGATATTTGAAAAAGTCAGATATCAGAAAATGCCAATGATAATCTTAGACTATGACATTTAACAGCAATAGCCAATAGATTCTCAGGCGTCAAAGACATGAACAAATATTTATATTGGTCTGACGATGTTGATTATGTTAGAGGAACATTTCTAATAATTGGCCAATGGCATCAGAAATCCATTTGTGTGTGCGGGTATGTGTGTGCTTTTTTTTTGTTCTCGCATTCCGTTAACTATCACAATCTGCCTGCCATGGAATTGTCGACATATTTGTTCTTGCGAATTGCTACTAGACAAATGCTATTTGCTATACCATTTTTATATTTTTTCTTCATTGTCTGTCTAACACCAAAAACTAAATTGTATTATATCATATTTGTTTAACTGAAATGTTAGCTATATATTCTAGCAACAACAACAACAGCAAAAATACCAATAATAACCATAAAAAACAGCAACGAGACAATGACAATATGTGAATGGTGATGGTACTGGCAATGGCAACAAAACGTTTTATACACCATCTCATGGTTCCTCGTTTTCTTTTTCGCCTTTTTGTTGTTGTTTGTTGTATTTGCTATTGGATTCCCGAAAGGTAACCACTGGGATAAATACGAATAGAGTTTATTTGTTTGTAAAAGATTTGATTCATATGCTATTCTAGATATATATATATATGAGATATGCCACAAAATAATAGGAATAGGGGTTGAGGGAAATTGTAGCATGAAAAATTCTATATCAATTAATGGAACTAATAGGGAATAACGGATCAACTGGTATATTTATATAATTGTTCACACCAAATGTGGATGTGTAAAATAGCTTGATTACCTAGGGCTGTGTACGATGTTTTGGAATAATTTATTTGTCAATTTCTCAGATGTTAGTACTTGTATGCCACCCGTATTCTGATACCATTAGATGATTTTATGAGCTTCTGACATTTCTTAAATTGAAACCAGTAACTATAAACACCAAATTCAAATAGGCATCCTCTATGATATTTATCGTCAATTTGGCGGGTCCTCTTTTACCGGATCAAATTATATCAATTGAATGGAATCGAGTTTTTAGATAATATTCCTCAAGGACTTTAAGGATCATGATTTCTTTAAGAATATTTTTGAAGGACTTGAGAGTGAATTTTACAAGAAATAATTTCTAGGAGTTTTAGTGCAATAGCATTTGTAAAATAATATTTTTCAAAGAAGTCCACAGGAACAAATTTTCTTCGAGGACTTCAAGAGTGTGAATTTTGTAAAGAATATTTTAAAGACTTTAAAAGCCACAGATGGAATATTAAGAAGGAATATTTTTCACAGAAGTTAAGAGTCACCAGCGTTATCCTAATTTTCAAAAATTGTAAGGCCACAGCAGTGGATTTTTTTAAGTATAGTTATAGTGCAAGAACTTCAAAGGCCACAATCGTGAAATTTATGACTATTAAGGACTTTGAAAGCCACAGATTGAATAGAATTTTATGAATATTATTTCAAGGACTGTAAGGATGACTAACGTGTCATTTTTATAGACAAATTGTTGAAGGGCTTTAAGGAGTATTTTTAAGGACTTCAAATGTTTTTAAGTTATATGTTTAAAGGACATCCAAAAACATAAACGTCTATATCTAGGGATATCTAGGGATATAAGCGTCGATTCTAAAATGAAATATTTTAAGGAGGTCCATATACACAAGCGTGAATTACAAAAAAAAAAAAAAAAAACATTTAAAGGACCCCCCCATTCTCCAATCTACCCTAATTCCCTGGTATTTGTTTACCAGCCCATTTAAAATCTTAAAAATAAAAAATCGTGAATGGGGGGGTTCCCTTAAAGAACGTCTAGGTGTACACCAACGCGCAAATTTTTTTAAACAATATTTTTCAATTACCAAGCGCTTCCTCAGCCTCAAGTATGTTTTTAAATAACTTGTATCAAAAACTGTGGATTTTTATACCCTACACCACACTGTGGTGGCCAAAGAATAGAGATAGACCCATGGTTCCTTATGAGAATATGTATATAATCACTTTCAGAGACGATTTATGTATGTCCGTCCGTCGGTCTGTCCGTCTGTTGGTGTTAAATTGTAAACAAAGTCCCTCCGTCTGTTACTGTTAAATTGTATACAAAGTACAGGTCGCATTTATAATTCCAATAAGATGAAATTTGGTACAGCTAATTTTTTTGGGCCATGGACGAACCCTATTGAAATTGGAGAGAATCGGTTCATATTTAGATATAGCTTCCATATATATTTTCGTCCGATTTTATGTAAATGGTGCACCAAATCGGTTCCGATTTAGATATAACTAACATAAATAGTTTTGTCCGATTTTATGTAAATGATGCACCAAAGTCCCTATATATTTTTCGATTGACACGAAATTTGTGATGGCGTACTGAATTGAGTCTTGAATGACGTGTGCTAAGTTTCCTGAAAATCGGTTTTCATTTATAAATAGCTCCCATATATATTTTCGTCCGTTTTCATGTAAATGATGCACCAAAATCCCTACATATCATTCGATTTGCACGAAATTTGGCATGGCGTAATGAATTGACTCTAGAATGACGTGTGAAAAGTTTCGTGAAAATCGGTTCAGATTATTTATAGCTCCCTAATGTATTATAGTTTCGTCCGATTTAATGTAAATTGTGCATTATAGACCCAAAGTTTGTCTGATTGACAAAAATTTGGGTACAATGTTTTAAATTTAATATAAATAAACCTCTGGCAAATTTCGTTGAAATCAGTTCATATTTAGATATAGCTCCAATTTTTATTTTCGAATGAAACCTAGCATAGGTTGCAGGAAGGTATGTGTATGGACTGATGTTACTCGGATCACATATCGAAATATGAAGAAGTTTTAGAAATCTGAAATAATCGGGAATATCTTCCTTGAACATGGTATGAAGGCTGCTGTCAGGGTTCGAACCCAACAACATCTATGAGAAGTATTAACTTAGAATCAATTCACCCAGCTGCATATCACATATCACCTCGATCTCTTTCTAAATTGTACACTATAGTTTTGTCCAATTTAATGTAAATTGTACACTATAGACCCAAAGTTTGTCTGATTGACACACAATTTTCTATAAATAACCCTCTGGCAAATTTCGTTGAAATCAGTCCATATTTAGATATAGCTCCAATTTTTATCTTCGAATGAAACCTAGCATAGGTTGCAGGAAGGTATGTGTATGGACTGATGTTACTTGGATCACATTACTAAATATGAGCAAGTTTTAGAGATCTGAAATAATCGGTAATATATTCCTTGAACATGGGATGATGCTGTTGTCAGGGTTCGAACCCAGCAATATCTATGAGAAGTATTACCTTAGAATCAATTCACCCAGCTGCATATCACATTTCACCTCGATCTCTTTCTACCACAAAATATCTCATAATTCATAACAACAAAATTTTTGCTGACAATCGGTCTGTCTATGATGGCATAACGTATGTATGCATTTCTGGGCATTATTTGTTTTTCTCCTTTTCACATGGAATTTTGTCTTTATTTGTATATGAATATGTATGCGAACAAATATCCGAAATAGTGAGACAAATACTAACCAACATAAAGTGGCAAAATATGTTTCTGTTTCCCTTTTTGTTTTTGGGTGTTTTCATATTATTTACCAAATAGACAATGGCGAATGGAATATTGTAGTGGCAATAAACGGAAACACAATTTACCAATGGAATCATAAATAAAGCTAAATAAACATAAAGAAGAAACAAAACGAAAAAAAAATTGCCAACTAATATATATGGTGCTGATATTTGGGAATGTCAATATCAATATGGTAAAGATTATGTGAGATATATATTTTTTTGTTATTTTCAAAGTGTTGATTGGATTTTGGGAGAGAAAAAAAGAAGTATTTTTAAACAAACATTTTAATATTTTTGAGAATTTAAAGGTTTCTAATTTTTATGGAGTAAAATAAAAAAAATGGATACAGAATTTTTACTAATGAACAACAATGGTATATAAATTTAAAAGACTTTAATTTATTATCTGCAATCATATACAAATATTTATTTTGTATTTTTTTCGTAATTTAAGGTTTCCATATAAACCATAACCCCCACAAATCCTCCCCTTGATCTTCAAATAAATGTCTATATTAATCACATTTATAAAAATTGCTTAATAACCCCCCTATTAATAATTAATGGTGTGCTATTACACACACACATACATCCATAAATGATATGAAATATTTATTGCTATCGAATGTCAGTTTATAGTTCAATACTTACAATACAATTCAATGGTGATATTGGTCGAGACATATTTCTTGTGAAAATTACTCGCCTGACAGGTGTACACTGCATGTTGGTGGATTCGTGATAAATTTCGTACCACTAATTTGCTATTTATCGTATTGTCATAGCTATAATCGACAACACTATTTTGGATTTGACCATTCATCAGCCAGGTAACAGTTGGCGGTGGTTTGCCTAGAGGAAAAATGAGAAGAAGGGAAATTGATATCAATTAAATGTTTAGTAAATCATTTTTTTTTTTTATATATTTTTAATAGGTATTTATTGAAAAGTTTTGTTTTGTTTGTATTTGAATGAAATATTAAAAATAAACAAAAGTTCTGTCGTTTTTCGGCAAAGTCTAGACTGTAATTAAACAAAAAACAACAAACATTCCTTTAAAGTTTCGAATAATTCATTAGAAAAAAAAGTTTTTGCTTTGATAGCAAAAAAGCAAATATTGGAGTGTAGGAGAGAGACTAAAACACCCATAGAAAAAAATGTTGTACCCATGTGGATAATATAAGAGATTGGAAAAATTGTAATAAATTGGTGCTCCCTCGAACCTTCTCCTTACTCAGTTGTATATGTGTCTATGAAATTTTTTCTTTTCTCTGACAAGCATTTAACATTTTTGCCTTTACAAACAAACACAAAAGAATATTTTTAATTCAAAGTAAACTAAAAACCTTGAAAGTTTTCCCAATCCCAAAAGGTTTTCATATTAATTTCATAGTAATTTATCTACTTTTCTAAATTATTCTTTGAGTCGCAATCACAACAAAGTTAGTTGGCTATCCAAAACTTAGAAAAGTAAATACAGATAATGAAAGTTTAGTAAATTGCAATATTATTGGTCTTTTTTGAAATCGTTGAAAAATAATTTTAAGTCTTCAATACATATTTTTAGTTTGTATTATTCCAGATATTGGATAATGTTTTTAATATTTGACCCCATAATGGTGTTGGCGGTGCATGAAATAAACATATTAAAAAACCTACGCGTTGGTTGAACGTGCAAAAATATATTTCCTCAAAAACATTTTTCATGCAATTTTTTTCGACTTTTTGAGGGTGCCTAAGAATTATTCTAGTCATGTTGGGCTAGTGCCTCGAACATACAAAAAATTAAGCCAGTAAGGAAAGTAGTAAAGTCGGACGGAGCCGACTATATGATACCCTTCACAACTATGGGTATATTTAAATAATGCATCCTAACAGAAAGGCCATTAACATGAAATTGGGTGAACTAAAATATGTGACTTGTATCTAAATGTGAATCGACTTACATCAACCCATAAACATGCCCTTCATTGTTACAATGGTACAAAATTATGTAAATCGATTTAAGGGGACCCCAACCATTCTCTGGGTCAAATTTTTTTTTTGATTTAATTCGAATCAGCACTAATTGAAGTGAAAATCTCAAGAACTCTTGAAGATATAGCCGATTTATTGTGTCAGCATCAAGTGACGGCAAGAGTGATTCTCAAACTTTAAAAGCGTTTTTCTCTTTTGTGAATGGCGGGCACGATAACTCAAAAACTAATAACCCAATCGATTCCAAATTTTTACACGTTTCTCTGTGAGTGTATAGCTATCGTATGAACTAGGATAAAGCCAATCGGTGAAGATCTTCCTTATTTTTTAACTTGGTTTTTGGTCAAAAATCGGCGATTTTCCAAAAATATTTTTTTAAAGTTCCGCCATTTTGTTGATTTTAGAGCGAAGTCAATAATCCTAGTTCATACGAGAGCCTGACATGTACTCTTTCTAACACCGTTGGAATTTTCGGATTCCGACGTTCCAGTGAGGAGTTATCATGCCCGCCATCAAAAATAAGGACTTTTCTTTAATTACAAAAAACAACAACAAATTCTCTTTTAAATCTTCAAATATACATGTGCAAAGTTACAAACCTTAACAAGCATTGGTATTGATTTACCAGCCCATTGAAAATCTTGAAAAATTAAAATCGAGAATGGGGGGGTTCCCTTAAAGCAACTATCAAACGTGCACCCGTTGAATACTTAGAACACGAAGTCGGTCCAAAATATATATGGGCTACATGTGTACTTCCACACGCAACTACGTCCATCTATTCTGAACGAAAAAACATGAAGAGCATAGTGCAACATTTACATAAAATCGGATGAAAATAGATACGAAAGCTATAACCAAATATGAACGGATTTCAACGATACTTGTCACAGTTTAGGTTAGACTAATTTATGCACTTTTTGTTCTTAATAGATATATTTTGAATCCTACTTAAATTCGGACGAAACCATATAGGGGTTATATCTAAATCTAGACGGATTCCAAAAAAACTTCACACACGTATGGTTAAACTATCTTAAGTACGCTGTGTAAAATGTTGTGTAAATCTGAACCGATTTCCACGAAACTTCACACACTTTCGTCCAAATCGAAAAAAAAAACTGTAGGCAATTTGGTGCACCATTTACATTAAATCGGACGAAAATATATATGGGAGCTATATCTAAATCTGAACCGATTATCAAGAAATTTTACACACATCATTCTAAACTCAATTTCGTACGCTATATATAGGGACTTTGGTACACCATTTACATTAAATCGGTCGAACATATATAAGAGACCTATATCTAAATCTGAACCGATTTTCAAGAAATTTTACACACATCATTCTAAACTCAATTCTGTACGCTGTACCAATTTTTGTTGCAAATCGAATGATTTTCAGGGACTTTGGTGCACCATTTAACTAAAATCGGGCGAAACTATATATGGGACCTATATCTTAATCTGAACCGATTTTTACGAAACTAAACACACATCATGTTAGACTCAATTTAGTACGATATGCTAAATTTCGTGCAAATCGAATGATTTGTAGGGACTTTGGTGAACCATTTACCTAACATCGGACGAAACTATATATGGGAGCTATAACTAAATCTGAACTTAGCAAACGTCATTCAAGACTTAATTCAGTACGCTGTACCAAATTTCGGGCAAATCGAATGATTTTCAGGGACTTTGGTGCACCATTTACATTAAACTGAGCACACATCATTCTAGACTCATTTCAGTACGCTATGCCAAAATTCGTGCAAATCAAATAATTTTCAGGGACTTTGGTGCACCATTTACCTAAAATCGGGCGAAACTATATATGGGAGCTATATCTAAATCTGAACCGATTTTCACGAAATATAGCACACGTCATTCTAGACTGACGCTGTACCAAATTTCGAGCAAATCGAATGATTTTCAAAGACTTTGGTGCAGCATTTACCTAAAATCGGGCGAAACTATATATGGGAGCTTTATCTAAATCTGAAACGATTTTCTCGAAACTTAGCACACGTCATTCTAAACCTAATTCATTACGCTGTGCCAAATTTCGTGTAAATCAAAATATATATAGGGACTTTGGTGCACCATTTACCTTAAATCGAACGAAAATATATATGGGAGCTATATCTAAATTTGAACCTATTTTTCCCAATTTCAAAAGGGTTCGTCCTTGTGCCGAATAAGTGACCTAAGCCAAATTTCATCCAATTCGGACCATAAATACGCCCTGTACTTTGTTTACAATTTAACATGGACAGACGGACGGACATGCATAAATCGGCTTAAAAAGTGATTCTATGCATTTTCTAAAAAGGAACCATGTGTCGTTTCCTTTTGCCTGTTACAAACTTATGCACAAAGACATAATACCCTGTACAACAGTGTGGTAAAGGGTATAATGAGGCTTCAGAAAAATTCCCTCTTATGTTGAATCTCTCAAAATGTTTCTTTAAACGCCCAATATTATTCTTTTAAAATTCCAGCCTTTTGATGGGCTCCCATATAGAAGACCACAAAAAATTCTTTAACAAATTCCTGCTTATGTTGGACCACCATATTTAAGACTACAATATTCTAAAAATAATTGTTTAAAAGCCACCGGCTAATGAGGATTCTCTAAAAATAATTCTTGAAAATCCACCGCCTATTGAGGGTCCTCTAAAAATAATTCTTCAAAAATCCATACTTATTGAAGGCTTGAAATTCAACAGATTTTTTTCTATTAACTTTAATTTTTAATTAATTAATTTTAAGTTTTAATTAGATTTATATTAGATCAAAATAATGGGGATTTTGAAAGAATATTTTCCAAAGTATTAAGAAAGGTGAGGACTGGTTGAAGAAATATTTCCCACAGACTAACAATGCGGTCATTGTTTTAAAAAAATCTTTATAAAAAGGAGGGACAATTTTAAATCTTCGATATTTTTAAAATATATTATATCAAAGATCATTAGTACGCTTAAATATCAATTGTAAAAAAATATGTTTTTAAAACTGCCAATGAGCTTGAAAAAAAATGGCTGGCAACCTTGATTAATTTGCAGAATATTTCCTCAATGATCTGTAAGAAGAGCGGTGTTATAAGAACAGTTTTTTTCAAGGAAAGGGTCTTCAAGAATTTTTTCATTGTTTCCCAATGCAAATTTGTTTAAAACAATATTTTCTCAAGCTCTTTCAATAGCTAAATTTTTTCGAACGAGTTTTTTTTCAAAGACAATCAAAACATCCATACTTCATTTTGTCACAGTATATTTAAAGAAATCATTCTGGATGTTGTGATATCTACAAAAATAATTCACATATATGTCCCTCATAAATATTTCCCCCATCCCCACTCTCCCTCCCTTTTTGTTCTTTATCATAACTACATATTCTTTCTTGTTTGTATGTATGTATGAAAAATTGTTTGGAAATAAATTAAGTTAATGCACGTGTGCTTAATATTGATTATTATTTACTTCCTTTAAACAATAAATTATATTTAACATATGAACTAGTGGAGAGATGGTGCTGGTCGGTTGGTCTAGCAAGGACTATTGTCAGTAGCAACAACATCAACAACACAGACAATACCAATAACCTAATATTCCTAGTGACTGGGGGGCACTTCAATGAACAAAAAACTGGTCTAAGGGCAGGCTGTATATTTTTGCATTAGTATTGGTTTCTTCTTGGTTGTTTAGCTAAAATATATCGACTAAAATAGACCATAAATATATATTTCTTTGCACACACAAACTCACACGAACACACAGATTTCTATCATAAAGTCTTCCTCCCACATCCACTATTAGAACAGAAAATAATAAATTTTATGATATAAAGTGTATATTTGTTGGTTTATGACCAGCTGTGGAGGTCTTTTAAATGGTGTACTCGTATATGCGTGTGTGTGTTTACGATTAGATATTACACATTTTTGTTGTTGTTGCCTTTTTCTATTTCTTTTCTATGGTAAGACCTAAATGTCAGACCAACATTTACAGGGCCAGGAGAATGTAATCAACTAAACTTAATGTTATTATTTATCAAAAAACGTAAACAGAATGAAATGGAATGTAGGAAAAACAAGCTTCATATAAAAGCCATTCACATCCTTTCATTGTGTGCGAACACTTAACAATAGACGAACAGACACAACTGATTTTTTTCTGTTTTTACCTTGATTTTTTCATTTCTAGTCTCAAGGATATTCAATACACTTATAATTCAATTTTAATAATTTCTTTTTTTAAAAAAAAAACTGTCCAAAAACTGAATTTTCTAGAATTTGTTTGAAGGATCGGTAAGAAAAGTGGTGTTATAAGAACAGTTTTTTCAAGCTATATTTTTAAATGACCTTTAAGAAGCGCAAATTTATAATATTTTTTTGTCGAGAGCAGGATTTTGAAAGAATATTTTTCAAAGATATTAATAAGGGTAAATTTTTAAAGATTGTTTTCAAGGACCTTTAAGATGCGTGAATTTAAAAAAAATAATTTTCAAGGACGTTTAAGAAGTATGGAATATTTTCCAAGGACTTTAGGTAAATTGGATTTTGAAAAAAATATTTTGCAAGGACCTTTATGTTGAAAATATGCAACACAATTATTAAAGTAGTATAGTAGGCTATGCATAATGGAATAATTTATTGTAACATAGTTGTCCTTGCCCTTATATATACATATTTTGGTTTTGTTTGTCGTTGGAATTATTGGAAATGTTAGTCTCTATTGAATTGTATTGCTGTTAATATTAATAAATATCTCGTCGGAAGTTTATGGGCCCAGGCAGGCTATGACGTTACGATGAGTGGATTTTTGAAGCATATTTTTTAGAAAATTTAAGAAGCATGCATTTGTTATGAATATTTTTCCTGGATCTTTAGGATTATTGGATTTTAAAAATATTTTTCAGGAAGAATTAGTAATAGTGGATTTTTAAAGAAATTGATTTCAGGGGGCCTTTTCGAAGCGCGGATTTTCAAAGAATATATTTCAAGGAATTTTTAAAAGCCTGAATTTTCCATGAATATCTTTTAAGGAACGTTCAAGGACCTTTAAGGAGGCTGAATTATAAAGAAAATTTTTTCAATGACGTTTTAGAGACGTAGTTTTTTAAGGAATATTTTTCGAGGATGCATAATATAAGTAAATTTTGTAATGAAACAAAAATTTTTTGACTAATTGTCAAGGATCCTTAAAAAATAAGAATTTTTAAGGACCAACATTTTTAGAAAAAAATCCAACAATCTCTTTGAAGCGTGGGTTTTGTAGGGAGGTGTTTAAAAAGAATTTTTGAAGAGTGGGTTTCATATAATATTTTTTAAAGGATCTTTAGGAAACGCGTTGTTCTAAGGCAAAGACCTTAATTAAATCTCTATATTTAACGAACGGTTGGTAGGACTTTTATCAAGCGTAGATTTTTAAGTGATGTTTTGCAATATTTTCTCAAGGTCTGTTATGAATGTTAATTTCATTAAAATATCAGGGAATATGTAGAGACTATTTTTCAAGACCCATTATGAATTATTCATAGCCACAAAATTATTATATATTGCCCCTCCGCTTTCACCTCAACTTTTCCATGTACGTGTTTTTTTTTTTTTTTTTTGAAAACTGTACAGCCGAACAAACCTATCTTTCATCATCATCATTTAGTTACAAATCGAAAATGCTAAGTAAGACCATGACAATGGCGATTCAGTGTCCAACACAAAAATAAATACAATTACCATTGTAATTGATTGATCGGACAATGAGACATGGATAATGGTTTCCATTTGTTGAAATGAAAAAAATGGAGAAAAAACTTTTTCAAACTCGTGTTTAGATAACAAATATCAAATTTAATGGCCACAATTCTGCATCAAGAGAAAAGAGAGATGGGAATATTGAATTTATATGTTCTTAAAAAGAAACAATTTAAAATATCAAAATGCCCTTCGGAAAAAAATATTTGCCAACAATAATGAATATGCTCGAGGTACTTTAAAAAATATTACTTAAATTACTCAATTCATATAGCCTCAAAAATTCTTTAAATTATATACAGGACAACTCACATAACTCTTTGAAAACGCTTCGATAATAGTCCTTAAATTTGCAGCAAACTCAGTCCCTCCCACATGGAGAAAAAAAAAAAGAAATTGATTTGATCATAACTCATAAAACATGCAAATCCATTCATGGAAATCTAAAGTAGGACAATTTTAAACTCTAAGGCGGTCATAAAGAACTACTGCTAGTTAAGTTATAAAAAAGTTAAGGTAATACAATGTAGGATATTTTCAGTTATTTCATATCGCCAACACGTAAAGGAGAATGTACAAAAACAAAGTAAAATAATATAGTAATTATTTTTTTGTAAAAATTGAAAAGGAAGCTTTTTAAATGGTAAACCCTAAATTGGAGGAAGGAAATTCACCGTACAAAAAAGATTTTTTTTAAATGAATCAAATCTTTGAAATCATTACAAGCTTCTTGAAAAAATATCTGTAAAAAATCTTTACATATTTTATAATTCAAACCAGTAAGAAAAGTAATAAAGTCGGACTGGGCCGACTATATGATAACCCCCACCACTTTAGGTATACTCTACATATGTATCCTAATAGACGTCGCATTTTCGAAGGAACAATGGCGTGAAAACTATACTATATCTCAATCTGAACCGATTTCAAAGAAACTTGCCAGAGATTAGTTTATATTAACTTCAGTAAGTTGTGCCAATCGGACAAACTGTAGGCCTTAGTGCACCATTTATTTACATTAACATAAAATCGGACGAATATATATATATATATATGGGAGCTATATCTAAATCTGAACCCATGTTCACGAAATTTACCACACGTCATTCTAGATTTAGTGCAGTAAGCTGTACCAAATTTCGTGCAAATCGAATGATTTTCAGGGACTTTGGTACACCATTTATCTTAAATCGGACGAAAAAATGTATGGGAGCTACATTTATTAATTTATTACGCTGTGCCAAATTTCGTGCATATCGAAAGATATATAGGGACTTTGGTGCACCATTTACATTAAATCGGACGAAAATTTATATGGGAGCTATATCTAAATCTGAACCGATTTTCATGAAATTTAACACACGTCGTTCCAATCTCAATTCAGTACCCAATGCCAAATTTCGTGCAAATCGAAGGATATATAGGGACTTTGGTGCAATATTTACCTAAAATCGGACGAAAATATATATGGAAGCTATATCTAAATCTGAACCGATTTTCACGAAACTTAACACACATCATTCCAGGCTTAATTCAATATGCTATGCCAAATTTCGTGCAAATCGAAAGATATTTAGGGACATTGGTACACCATTTACCTTAAATCGAACGAAAATATATATGGGAGCTTTATCTAAGTCTAAACCTAATTTCAAGAAACTTCACGTACGTCATTCTAGGCCTAATTCGATACGCTATGACTCCCTCTTCACGGCTGTTAAATGCCTTGTACAAAACACTTCTGCTTTTTTTGTTTGTTATTTAAATCAACAGTTCAAGGTGGAAAAATTTCTGATCTCTTGCTAATTCACTTCATTAAGCCGTTGAGCTTTTAATGGCTAAATGAAATATATTGCCAAATAACTTTTGCCGTTTATTATTACCGTCCCTCATTAGCATTATCAAATGTCATAATCATAAATTTTATTATCGCCAATATATTGACAGTCCAATGACCACCACCCACCCAATAAACCCCCCTGTACACTTAATTAAGCTCAGCAATAATTCCTAGAGAAATTTCTCATTTTTATTGTTTTGAAAACAATTTCCTGAAAATTCCTAAAGTCATAAAAATAATTACAGGAAAATAAAATCGAGAATCAAGAGAACTTACCTTCCTGTACGACACAGGTCACTTCCAGGCTGCCGCCTTCCTCATAGGGACCAGCTCTTGAATCGATGCGCATACGACGTTCATTGAAGATTAAAGGTTGTTTGGGTGGTACTGTCGTTATCGAGGTTGGAGAAAATTGTGAGCGAAAGAGAAAAGAGAAGAGGGGAATAAAATAAATCAGTAAATTTGAAAAAATCAATTAACATAGCTTACAAATATTTATTTTCCAAATGCTAATCTAAGCGGCCATAATAAACCTCAAATTGAATGCCACAAATAAATAAAGTTTTTGTTCACGATTTGTTGTTGTTTGGAAAGTGTTTTTTTTCTCTTTGGAATTTTAAAAGGAATTTTCCGAATGAATTCCCAAATATGTTGGTTTAATTAAAATTGTGGCCAGCTGCAACAATGTTGGCTATAATAGTAGTTGGCAGGGCCATTACACTAGAAATTTGGTTGTTTGCATTGGGTTTTTATTTAAAACTTTTTTGAGCTATGAATGAACAGTGTTGCCATTTTAAAATGAATAAAATTCTCAAGAAAAATAAGGAAATTAGAATGTATTAGGGTCGAAATAAAAGTTTAAATTTCAGCTCTTACGACTGTATACCTTGAATAGTTCCGATCATCTTTGAAAGATAAATTTAACAATGGCAATCACGTTCATGGCAAAAAGTGTATAGCTGCCACTGAGATTTATTTGGAATTTTTGGGGATTTAATAAAAACAACAACCCTACTATTGTTGTATATAAAATAAAGCAAAAAAATCGTATCACAAGTCAACAAACCAAAATTTTACAACTAAAAAAATTACATTGATGGTCAACCAGTTCTAAGCTACTTTTCCATCACAACAATACAAGCAATTATTAAAAAAAAAAAGAAATCCCTCCCCGATATTATTGACCTCTTTTTACTTACCCACAACCTCCAAATTGACATTGCTATTTCGTGTTTGTGAAAGTTTGAAATCAACTCTACATCGAAAATTGCCAGCATCTTTTTCCTAAATAATTACAAATACAAATTTTTTCCGCAATTAATGCATTTCCGTTGTAAAATGGAAGAGAGTAAGAAATGGAGGAAGGGAAGAAAAGAGAAGAGAAAACAGGAAAGTTTTATTATTTCATTAAATTATTTACTAATTGCAAAAATGTTGTGTTTCATTTCTGTTATGTTCAATTACCTTGACAGGACTCAGTGCCAGTTCCGCTGGTTCACGATGTGTATGAAAGACGGCACGACTTTCTAATACCTCTTCGTCCCGCCAATGGGATGGTGTCCCCGCATGGGCACCACGAGTGTCATAACTGAATGGGGATAGAGAAGAAGAAAAATAATGTTTATTTTTTCCTCTAAAAATTTAGGATTCAAAAATCATTAAACATTTTCCTTAAATTAATTGAGCATATTAAAGTTATTTAAAAATTATTCAAAATCCTTAAATTGTTGAATATTTTTCTCACCAGGGGGCCCACTCTCCTTGAAAAATCCTAAAAAAAATACCGAATCTACAATCCTTCAAAATTATTCTTAAAATGATTCAGGACCCTACCGAGTCCTATAATTATTACAAAAATTATTCTTAAAAATTCAGTAAATGAAATTTGTTATTTATTTGAAATTTTATTCCAATTTTTAAGAATCAAAATCTTTCAAAAATTCAAAACGCAACAAAAGTCATTGAAAACATATTCTGTAAAACCTCAGGACATCAAAATCCTTGGTGAAAAAATTAATTGCATGGAAATGGCAGTCCTTCAAAAATATCCTCTTTAAAAATCTACATCTCTGATAGTCTTTCAAAAATATCCTCTTTAAAAATCTACGCCTCTGATAGTCTTTCAAAAATATCCTCTTTAAAAATCTACGCCTCTGATAGTCTTTAAAAAATATCCTCTTTAAAAATCGACGCCTCTGATAGCCTTTAAAAAATATCCTCTTTAAAATCTACGCCTCTGATAGTCTTTAAAAAATATCCTCTTTAAAAATCTACGCCTCTGAGAGTCTTTCAAAAATATCCTCTTTAAAAATCTACGCCTCTGATAGTCCTTCAAAAATATCCTCTTTAAAATCTACGCCTCTGATAGTCTTTCAAAAATATCCTCTTTAAAAATCTACGCCTCTGATAGTCTTTCAAAAATATCCTCTTTAAAAATCTACGTCTCTGATAGTCTTTCAAAAATATCCTCTTTAAAAATCTACGCCTCTGTTAGTCTTTCAAAAATATCCTCTTTAAAAATCTACGCATCTGTTAGTCTTTCAAAAATATCCTCCTTAAAAATCTACGCCTCTGAAAGTCTTTCAAAAATATCCTCTTTAAAAATCTACGCCTCTGATAGTCTTTCAAAAATATCCTCTTTAAAAATCTACGCCTCTGATAGTCTTTCAAAAATATCATTCAAAAATCTACGCCTGATGGTCTTTCAAAAATATCTGTCAATAATCTATAACTGATAGTCCTTAAAATATCCTTCAAAAATCTAAAAAAAACGCCTTCAATGATAGTCTTTCAAAAATATCATTCAAAACTCTACGCCTCTGATAGTCTTTCAAAAATATCATTCAAAAATATACACCTCTCTTTCTACACATCTCTTTCAAAAATACCCTTCAAAAATCTACGCCACTGATAGTCTTTCAAAATATCCTTAAAAAATCTACGCATCTGATAGTCTTTCAAAAATATCCTTCAATATTCTATAACTGATAGTCCTTAAAAATATCCTTCAAAAATCAACGTCTCTGACAATCTTTCAAAAATATTCTTCAAAAATCTACCTTAAAAAAACTTTAAACTTGTCTTTAATAAATCCACGCCTGTTTTGGCCCTTGAAAAATATTCTTTAATAAATCCACGCCTCAGTTTTAGTCCTTTAAAACTTGTCTTTAATAAATCCACGCCTGTTTTAGTCCTTTAAAACTTGTCTTTAAAAATCCACGCCTGTTTTAGTCCTTTAAAACTTATATTTAATAAATCCAATCCAATAAATTTTTTAAAACGTGTCTTTAATAAATCCCCTCCTGTTTAGTCCTTTAAAAATCCTCACCAAGTAAATTTTCAAAACAGTTAAAAATATTCTCATTTTTTTTAATTTCAATATTTTGTATTTTTGCCCTTAAAATGTATCTAAAAATAAAAATCAAAAAAATTAAATAATTCAAAATATGTACCTGTAAATGGGTAAATTGTTTTTATACCAAACAACTAAAAGTACTTTATCATCCGGTAAACTTGAGCCAACATCACATTTAATTTGAGCAGTGCTATTAACCAGGACACGTAATACTTCACCATCTGCAATAAAATATGAGAAAGAAGAAGAAGAAAGAAAACGGATAAATAAAAGATATTGCCAAAAGAAATTATCGTTGAAAATTTAGACGCGGAAAACGAGAACGCGGGAGATAGGGAGGGAGGAATGGAAGTAAAGATGTATCAAATTGGAGTTAGGGGAATACAACAGGGCAACAAGGAACGAACACAAAGTACAAAAGATTTATTATTTAGCTGCAATTTTATTTATGACTTTATAGCTTACAGCAAAAGGTTGTTGTAACAACAGCAATAACAACAGTGCCGATAACAATAAGAAACAAATATATATAAATAAATAAAAATATAAAAAATGCATAGAAACAGCAATGGAAAATCTTGCTCTCATCTTATACTATGGGGAGTTACAGTGGGGCAGAGGGTATATTTGAAAATAATAATAGAAATAATATAATAATCCAGGATTAGAATATATATATTTTTATAGTTTCTGAATAATAACGCTGGAGTACTTAGGAAGAAAATCCGGAAACCCATATTTTCCCAAACATATTATATTATTAAATTTTTTAGCTTCTCAAAAAATAACCCAAACATCATATCACGTTTACCCCACTGTCCATCCATCCATAGATAACAAAACGACATTACTCGTTTTTCCCTTAATGGCGCAAAACAACTAAAGCTTAACGGCTAAATAAAATGGATGATGAAGACGATGGAAGAAAAATAAACTTAAAGGAAAAAAATATTAAAAGCCAAAAAAAGAAATCTACAATTCTCAGTGTACAAATAATGGTGTACAAAACAATTTCAATCAATTGATTTACAAACAGGGAAAAAACAACAACCAGAACTGAACCTACTCACAGCAATGGACGTCAGCAGATATAGACACACACAATCACAAATTGATGTACTTATGAAGAAAATATAAATCTATTTCTGGATAGCAAAAGAAACAGAAGAAGAAAAAGAAACAGATTGAAACACATGGACATCGATATAATAATTGCAAAGAATTGATTCAATTTTAGCAAGTATATGTTAGAGTTTTTTATTCAGTGGCGTAGGGGAGGGTCGGAGATATAAGGTCATAGAAAAGTTGTATATTTTTGGAAAAAAAACCAAAAATAATAATTCGCAAAACAACTCTAGTAGTCGATTTTCACAATCCTCCCTAGATATCATTTTTTTTAACATTAAAGAACTTTTGTAATGCAAGAAAAAGACAATAATCGCTTCTTGCCGGTCTGTATGGCGAATGCATTAAAAATTACCAACCAAGCTCCCGAAGTTTCTGCCACGATATTTAAGATGTGTGTAGCCACTGGTGGAACACGAGCGCATAATAAGTCTTGAAGGAAGTAACCGAATCGATGTTAACTTAGCACATCGATATATTTCTACCAAACATATATCAAGTTCAAAGTTGGGAAATATCGGTCCTCCCCGTCTGATTCCATACCCACCAAATGGTCAGCATATATATTACATAATGCGAATATCCGATTTTCACCAAACTTTGCACAACATATTATCTTTACCAAGCCTGGATGAAGTCCGAAGATGGGACCCATTGGCTCACTCCACTATTCAATATTTATAAATGCAATATCAGGCTAATGGAATGTCGGACGAGAACCATACTTTGCGCAACCTATTATCTTTACCAATCCACTACTTCTGACACATCTCCCACAAATGGTCAAAATATACAATATTTATTAATCCAATATCAGCCAAATGGAATGTCTGATTTGAACCAAACTTTGCACAATCTATTATCTTTACCAAGCCTAGATCTAGTCCGAAGATGGGACCCATTGACCTTCTCCCTCTGGTAACTCCTCCACAAAAGGTCAATACTTTATAAAATTTTAAACATAATTTGAAGCGGTTTGAATTATCGGTTTGATCATTTTTATAAAAAATTTTCTTTGATATTCCTTGTTTTAAACCCCGCAAAACTATGTTGTCAGGGTATTATAGCTTTGTGCAGCCACGAGATTTTGTAACGCCGCGAAATATCGGTCCTAGACCCAATTTAAAGTATACCAATTGTCATATCTTGACTATCTGAGTCGATCTAGACATGTTTGTCCATCATGACTGTTTTGATGAAGATCAATTAAAACTTAGCGGGTCATATGGACGCAGACTTTTGCGTTTGTATTCTGGGGTGTATCTATGTACTCCTGAAGCACATATTCACGAGATAAGTGGTTGACCTTTAAATTGATACCACTTGATCTATGCATGTGGGATGTGGGGCTAGTACGTAAATATATGTGGGGCTAGTACGTAAATATATATTGGGGTCTATCTATGCTGATACTGTTTAGTATTACTATTACCTCACTAGTGGGCGGAAATGTCGCGCTGATGGTTTTGCAATTTTACATAAAGTTCCGGTTATGTTGAGATGATATTTGGGGGTGCAATGAACCGAAAAATTTATTCTTGTCAGATTTTCTAGTCGCTCTAGAGGTCATTAATATACACATATTTTACACGGTGAAGGGGATCTGACCAAATACTTAAAACAGTTGGTTAGATTATAGTCGTTCAATATTCCGAAGGTCAAATTAATCAAAACCTAAAACAACCAATTTTTATGGTGTAAATATTCATATCGGGAAAACAAGATTTGGAAAATATGCCAGGGGTAGAAAGTGGATCTGTTGACCTATAATCGGCCAAAAGGTTGCAAATGTCCCGAAAAATTTTCCATGCTCAGAATATAAAAAACAGAAAGATAGATTTTCGTTGTACTTGTGTAGTGCTTCTGTTAATAAAGTGTGATTTATTTTTTTATGGTGATTCAACAAATTATTTTTTATCCATATTTCCTATAAAATATTTTTCTTGAAACGAAAGCTTGTCACAAAATCTTTTTCAGAAAATAAAAAAATAGGTTTTGGGAAAATATTATTTAAAAGTTTCTTAAGCTACCGATGTTTCATTAAATTATTTTTTTCTCTATTGATTTATTTCCATCCCCTACCCAGTGTTACGCCACAGCTTGACAGTCAGGACACACAAGTTCTCTCCTTGCAATTATCTTTCATTGTTATTAATTATTAAGTTTTTCTTTCAATTTTCAATGACGTTTTGTTGCAATAACATACGTTAACAATATTAAACTGTCAATTGTGATTTTGTGTGGCAGTAACCATGGAAAAAATTTATTGGTAACAAGTCTTTGGCTAATCATATTAAGTAATAGAGAATGACAGAACCAATAAAACAAAAACAAATTATATTAAATTTTTGATTTACTCTGAGAGGAATGTATATGATTGAAATTTCCAAGATATAACAAGGGTAAAGAAATTAATACAGGCCCATGCCAATGTGTAGACTTTTTTCGCAATTTGTTTTTTTTTATTAAGTAAATTCTCATATCCTTCTTTAACATAAAATTCATGTGTTTCATTAAAAAATATTGATTTTATTTACATGACATTATTCGATTCAATTTTGAACAATATTGTAAATATAGTTTTCAAACTAGTTTCAAAAAAAAAAAAAAAAATTTCCACAGATCTTTCCAAATATAGCAATTCAAACAAGTTTTATTTATTGGGAGAAAAAGAGAGCGATAGAGAAGAAAACCGCATACAAGTGCTTATTGTTGTGAACAATTTTGTTTGAAACTTGTATTGGTATTTGTTGTCCCTTCAACTGCTATCAATACAGAGACGACTTTGCTGTTGTACATATGTACAGCAATGACAGCAGTAGTTGTAGCAGGGTAGTTGTAGTGGTAATGGTTATTGCGGTAATGGTCTAGTTGTCGATATTCGAGGACACTGACGAGTGTCGACAACACTATTGTTGTTGTTTTGGAACGTTTATCCATGAAAGTTGTATTGCAAAGTTTAGTTGAATTTTCCACTTGCAGCGGAAAATGTACATTGTCCGAAAAATCGGGTAATTTTTTAGAGAGAGAGAGACCATGCACACACACGAGATCTATGTGACACAGTGTCTATGGCAACCAATAAATTTGTGGTATTTTATGGTTTAAGCATGACAAAAGACAAATTGTTGCAATCTTAACCAAATTTGCAAAAACACAAATGCTAACAATAGAAACAACAACAACAACAGTCAGATACACATCATCATATGTACACATGCATAGATATGTGTTTATGTTGTTTACTGTATTCTTTTGAATGAATTGTGGTATTTTGCATTTGAAAGTTTCAAAACTTTTTAAATTGAATAGTTTGAAAGCCTTTAAGAAGTTGCAGCATGAAAGGGAAAACGGAATTACTGCAGATGTGATATTTCATTTATGATTGAAAGGGAGTTAGTTAAAAAACTAAGAGGTTTAGGAAACAAATTTTATTTAATATTATAAACTGTTATATATAACTTTGAGTCCACTTAAATTACCTGAAGAATGTTTTTTTTTAAATTTTATAATACATACAATAATATATAATACATTTTTATAGCCTACACAACAATGTTTAAGGGGAATTAATGTTGCCCAAGAGTTCGTAACGTCGCGAAATATAGGTCCTAGACTCACTTTTTTGTATGCCGATCGTCTTATCACGACCAGCTGAGTGGATCTAGACATGTGTGTCCGCCCCTCTGTCTGCCATTTTATTTTGTGAATGGGAGACCGGGTACAGTATTTGACAGATTCCGGCCAAATAAGACCCCTATTGTTCTTAGAAATTATCGGCTAATAATAAGAGGATAAAATGGATCAAAAACAAAAGGAAACGAGATAGACACATGGTTCCTTTTGAGAATATGCATAGAATCACATTCTGAGTCGATTTACGCATGTCCGTCCGTCTGTCCGTCCATGTATTTTTGTGAACAAAGTACAGGTCGTATTTATGATCCGATTTAGATGAAATTTGGCATAGGTCACCCAAAGACGAACCCTATTGAAATTGGGAAAAATCGGTTCAGATTTAGATATAGCTCCCATATATATTATCGTCCGATTTAATGTAAATGGTGCAACAAAGTCTCTATATATTTTTCGATTTGCACGAA